AATCTGGTGCGAGGAGACATGGAAAAGGCAATGGGAGTCAGGAGACAAGAAGGAAAACAAGAGGGAAAAAATAGGAGAGAAAATTACATGGCAAAAATAGTAAAGACTAAAAGTAGAGGATAATGCTGCTCTATAACTGGTAATGGTCAAAACAGAAAGACCATTGTTGAAAAACCAGGTAAAAATTTGAATAGGTAAGGGACAGAAGGTGGGGAAGGGATGAATACATGACTGAGAGACCAATAGCAAAAAAATACACCATTTATACTGCCATGGAAGAGGAGCAGAAGGAATGGATAAAAGAAGGGATGCTACCCAGGTGGAAAGTCTGGAACCTCTTACAGAATGTCCAAGGTGTGAAAACACACTGACCATGATCAGGTGCCCCCTTGCCAAGTTATGCAAGAGACAACTGTCAAGTTGTTAGAATGAATCATTACTGTTTTGCCCCTCAAAGTTTGCAGGAAATGAATCAATGCCAGATGAACAGTCCAAAGTTCCACAAGATTGCTATTTAAATTCGACTCGACTAACGGCACGAGATCTCTTGGGCATCACAATATGGCCCCCAGCCCAACAAGAAAGCAGGCAATAAAAAGATGCACCTCTGGTCATGGAATTGTGTTGTCCCTGTCCAGCCACAAGGCAAAATCGGTCTGGAGGGAAGGGATACCAGGTATTCCAGGTATTCTAGGCCAAGGAGAATAAGGGCCTCCAAGGAAGCCCAAGTCTCCAAAAGAGTAAGAACCTCCCACACAGGTAGAAAAGATGAGGATTGACCTTCCAAATCATCAACAAACACAGTCGAAGGGGAAAAGGCTGGATTCGACTGAGATGGACATTCAAGAATACTCTAAGATGAATGAAGTATTGATTGGTGTGAGGATGGACTTCACCTTGACCAGCCATGCTAAATCGAAAAGTGAAGATTTGGTTCTACTGCATAGAGGGAGTCAGTTGCACTAAGAGGGCATGTCGCACTTCTGCTGGTGGAAGGTTGTCACATGCTTACTTGCATGTTGCAATGCAGTTATATGTTATATCATGCACACAGAAGGCAGTAGAAATAAAGTAAGCTATTTCATGAACAGAGGTAAGATCATTTGTATGTTACAATGCAGTTATATTATGCATATAGAGGGCAGTACAAATCGATAAAAGCTAATTCATCAGCAGAAGTAAGGTATCGTATTGTAACTTTAGACATTTTTCAAAACTTTCTTTGCAAGCTACCCTTAATATATTTTGGATTCAAAAATTATTCAAATTAAAGTTACACTTATTATCTATACATAATTTTGGAAATTTTACATATAGGTGTGCACTCAACACCTAAAAAATTACTCACCAGTCATTATGGGTTCAATTAATGTTGTGCTTAATTACCACATTTTATCAAAGTCAGCAAAGAATCAAAAATCATCAATAATGAAAATTTTCAGAGCTATTCCCAATGAAGATAATTAATCTACCTCAGTTAACAACTTCTCCAAACTTTCAGACATTTCACAGAAATAACGTGAAGTCACAAGCTTCTCCTGTGACTTTTGTAAACAATCCCGAGCCATTTCTATAACTTGATGGTGAGCAAAGTGAGCTACAGCATCAGAATTGATCACTGAATTAATCTGCTTCGCACTACTGATGAAGTTCTGTAGTTTTTCTTCCATCTGTTGAGTAGCCTATAAAGACAAATATGAAACATGATTAAAATTAAATGTTTCAAACACTTTAGCACACACCAGTAAAGAATTAAGATTATGATGAAAATCCTCTGGTAAAAAAATAGCTACAAATATAAGCATTATGATGAGAAACATGGTTTTAAGATAAAGAGATTGATTATCAATAGCAAATTGTGTCAAAGTTTATTAATAATATTTGCAGATGTTCTAAAGTGAAATGTTTGTAAAATTAAAATTTTTTCTAAATTCAAACAGCTAGAAAACATTGGTATGTATGTATTTTTATATCTTGCATATATACATATATATACACACTGGAAATACAATGTTTTATAGGCACTTGAAACTTGAAAACCAAACCAAACCTACAGATCCAACTCTATTCAATAAAAACAAATTGCATATATTTAGAACTTAACACCAAAAATAAATGAAACTCAACTAAATTTGAAAACAAATTTCTGGGTGATTCTCTTTAGTCAATATCTTAATAATACATACCTTTGGAAATCTCTCTTTGTACACACTGTTCATTAGAATAATATCATTATCCATACCAGGTGACCTCATAGGACTGCTATGAAAATACAGATGAACCAAACAGAGTTAACGTTTTACTTTTTTTTTGGAACACACAATTCTTATAAAACCATCGTTTTATGGACACTTGTATTATCAACGTAAGTGTAAGAAAAGAAATCCGAAGAAAGGAAGAAACATTGGTAATTCAATAAAAAGTGCCTTTGAATCCGCTTTAAATAAGTATTTGTGGTTAAAAAATTTAAAATTTCAAGCAAGTTTAAGTACACAGTGGATTGACAAGTCTATGTTTCTCATTTGACAAAAATATTGCCTTTATTTCTCATTTGCTCATTATTATAATGTTGCAATCAATAATAATCAGACTATCTTAAATATTCATGTGACTTCATTAACCATTAGCCTAAATTCATATTTCTAAAAAAAAGAAAAGCATCCAAAAATCTGATTTTATAATCTGAAACGACTACAAGAAAATTATGAAACTTTTACAAATATAATGTTTAAATCCTGTCATATATACACTTTACCAAATCTAACAATCCTATCCATGTAAGAAAATCTGTTAAAAGCCAAAGTTTCTGTTGCAACAAAAAAAATTCCATTTAATAACAGCAACAACAAATAAATGGTATAATGGAAAATACGCAACCTCAAACTTCGAGATCTTGGACGCATTAATGGGGACTTGCAGCCTTCTTCTTCCAAAGGAGGGTTACTCTCACTACTGCTGAATCTGGTAGGCTGACACTGTTCCTCCAGAACACAATGGGTTGGCAGAGGATGAAGTCTTTCTTGAGAAGAGCATTGAGACTGAAAAATGTTAAAAACCTAATAAAGATATGGTCTGATTTCAACCTCTTGTGTTACATACTGGTGATGAGCGTTGTTGCACAATTGTATAATTTTGCACTGGGACACCAAGAAAAATATTTTCTTTAGTTAGTGAAAAATACCAATATACAAATTACATAATAAGAGAAGTAACAGAGCTCTTTAACCCTTTTACTATGGGCAGGTTAAATAGTGCATGTAATGACCTTTTAGGGAGTTATTTTTAAAACTTTATCAAATAATTTTACTTATGTCAATGAAATTGGCATCAAAACATAATTTATAATTCAAATTATAATATGTTTTAATTTCTTAATTTAAATAGAAATATAAATAAAAAATTGCTAAATATCAATTTCTGTGTGTCACATAGCATCTCCTCTTGTCTTATTGCTCAGTTTATTTCACCTGCCATACGATGTGTACAGTGATTAATGAACTAGAAACTCGACTGAGATATGGACAAACTAAATATAATATAAGAACTTCCCTTCTCACCTCTTTGATTTGCTGTGATGTTAATATATTTAGCATATCTACTAGAGTGGCTCCTCCCACAACTCCATTCTTTTGAAACCTCCTATTTAATCCCACCCAATTCTCTTCAGTACGGGTTTATAACCAACAGAAAGAGCAGTTACACTTCTACATAAATGTGACAGTAGTTTGTAAATAGCTTGAAGGAGAAAGTCATAATTTTGCCATAACTGTTGAAATATGATGACTAAGTCATTGCTCTGAATAGGAATTGAATGTTTTGTAACCCACATATAACTTATTTAGAGACCAAGATAAGTTACAGGGGTTCTGTGTATCCTAATATAGTCACCTGATAATGTTTTTTTTGTTTTCTAAGATGTATATATATGAAGCCTACAAAAATTAATATCTTTTCACCCTCCACATAGAAGAATATAAGAGGCTTACAGCTAGGCTTAGCATGTCTGACACATGAGCACAAACTTTTGTATAACCATCAGTACTCCAAAACGTTTTTCTTCAAAATATCTTCTTATTTATTCTCTATGTTTTAAGAAAAATAACTAGAATTTAAACATTTATGGG